CTTGAAAAAGATCTAATAAGTTGAAACAGTAATATTATAGAGTTTCCCATTAAATCTTTTGAAACATTGCATGCCAATTTTTCTATAAAATATTCGCATCATCATCATAAGGTCGTCATTCCTAAGACTGGTTGGACACGTACCTACACTCTTTCCTATCTTGAGCTTAACATCGCACTAATACTAGTACAACCCACATGCTTAACTATTTACGAACAGTAATCTAATCTAGGTCTACCTCTACCCCTCCTAACTACTGTTTCTGCCTCTAATAAGTCTCTGGCTCGAATTTCTAAATTAACCGTTCGCGAGCATAGAAATGACTTGTTTTTATTTAAGGGCGACACGACGCTATGTTATCCTCTGCTTTATATCACTACTACTCCTTCCGCCCTGACTTATTTGACTTCCTAGATATCTAAAATCAGCCACTTCTTGTAATTTTTTGTCTCCTATCTTTATATTCGCCCTTTCCCTACTTTTTCTTCCCTTGCATATCGGTATTTTAGTTTTACTTTTATTTATTTTCATACAGTACTGTTTTGTTAGTATATGCCCTTGCACATCTATCCCTACAGTTGTACTGTCTTTAATGATGTTGATCGCGTCTTCGATGTATAGATTAAAAAGTAGCAGTGACAGTGTGCATCCCTGTCTGACTCCCTTCCTAATATTTACTTCTCTACGTTCTCTAAAATGTTCGCGTCACGTGAATACAAAAAGAAAAACAGAAGAAATTTAAAGAACCTTACGTATGAGGCAACCAAGCAGATTACATATGCATAAGTATTACTGATTATAAGACAAAAGATTAAAAACTCGCCTTCCTTGACGACACATATACAATTACTACAAACAATGAATTACAGAAGAATGTAAAATAATGAGACAATGCCAGTGTAGTAGATTTAATGGTTATTGTAGAGACAATTAATTTCATGGGAATACTCCGAATAAATATGAAAAACGACGTGCAAGTTGCAGAGTCTTTAAATTACATTAATTGCTAACGACCATTTTATTTATTTATTTTTTAATGGTTTACGGTAAATTCATATGTCTCATTTATGTAATTCATGTACCTAAATGCATTAGGTTTTTACAGATTGGGTTATACGTGATTTATTAATTTGAAGACGCGTGAATACAATAACTTTATGATTTTTTTAAATAATTCTTCTAATAATTCAAATAGTTATAAAATATAAAAACCGTCTATAAATGTAGCAATCCTAGTTGAAGCCACGTTGGAATATGTTATAAAGGGGGTAGTATTATTTACGAATAACTTATTTTATGTAATTATCATTCGAAAAAGTGTTGCAATTATTGAGTTATTAATTAAGCAAAAGAATGTTGTAGTAATTAATGATAAGCGTATGAATTTGAGTTTTACAGATATACCATTTAATAAATGGATGTAACCATAAACAAAATAGGGTGTTTTTAATGTGCTTATAATATATCCAAACACAATTGAAGAGTTTTTTTTNAACCCGCTGTTCCTAGACAACTTGACGATGAGTCCCAAAATTGATAATAAAGCTGATTGCGAAAGACAACTATCTGATCTTAGAAGTTAAATGATGCAATATTAATGCAACGATCTTGAATATTAAATAATGTGAGATTATCATACAAAGAAGAATCCATAAATGGATGTAACCATAAACAAAATAGGGTGTTTTTAATGTGCTTATAATATATCCAAACACAATTGAAGAGTTTTTTTTTGTTTGTTAAGTTTTCATGAACAATTTTATAAGAAATTTAAGTAAATTCTTCAGTATGACATGTGCTGTATAAGATTATTAGAAAATAGTGATGAATTCAAATATGGAAAAATACAGTAATGATTTTCATAAGAAAAAGTGAAGTTAACGTTTTACTCTGAAACAACTAGATAATAAGAAAATAAAAACTGCACAATTATTTAAATGGACATAAAATAAAGAAAATTTAATTAGAAATGATTCAGATCTATAATTCGAAAAACAGTTTCGTTTGCGTTTGTTTTGTCAACTACATTTTCTATAACTACTGGTCCAATAAGAATTCATCCATATTTGATGAGAAATATTAGTGTCTGAGTGTATAACGTCTGCACTACTTTCACTAATTAGCTGGCTGTCTACTACCATTAACAAAACAGCCATTTCAACCACGTCTACTGAAACACCTGGCTTATGTATGCATAATTTGTAAGAACAATTTTCAGAAAACATTTTTAAAATATGTAAATTACAGTTGTCAAATTAAAATCAAGGCATACGTCTCTTGATTGCTATTCAAGCATTCAAGGTGTAGTTAGCTATTTTGTTTTTTGCTGTAAATTCTAAGCTAGGAAGCTGTTGTTTACAAGCTGTATAACCACTATACTTTCAATCAAATTGTCTTCCATGACTTCACGCAAATGTTGCTTTTCTAAATTTTTTTATGAATAAGTATAACGCTTCTAATAATGTCTCTCAAAATAATTATAAGTACTATGACAAGTAGGTATATAAAGCAGAGGATAGCGCAGGGTCGTGTCGCCTTCAATAAAAAGAAGTCACTTTTATGCTCGCGAACGATTAATTTAGAAATTCGAAAAGGGTTGTTAAAGGTGTATGTTTCGAGCGCGGCGCTGAACGGATGCGAAACATGGACTGTGGGCGCGGCAGAAAAGAAAAGGTTAGAAGTATTCGAAATGTGGTGTTACAACAAGCGGCAACTTTCTATTGGTGGAGTTCACACAATTATAACGAAATTAAGAAATTGAGGAAAAAATTGTGGATTTTTTAATTGTAATTGCACAAATGTCACCACATGATGTTTTAATTGATTATTTATTTTTTATTTTAATTCTTCAACGTTTGTATATAATTGTTAATTTAAGTTTATTTATTCTTTTATTTAGACAAAGATTGAATTAGTTCGGTTGATCAATGAATATGGATCGTTATAAAGAAAAGCTACTCCGTCTGCTTTAGTTTCAAAATAGAAGACGAAAGCGAGAATGTTTTGGCAAAGACATGCAGTACTTTAATGTTTAATGTAAGTAACATAAAAAAGATATAAAATTTAAATCTGTGGTATTATGATATGTCAAAGGAACTGAAATACATAACGTGTGTAAAACTTAAATAAATGTAGGGATGTATGCATATTTAGATTCTACTCTCTGTCTAAATCCTTTTTCCACAAATTTAGACCAATCACCCATGTCTAACTAATCAAATCAACAAAGAGAAAAGTAGCAAGACTTACTACCAAGACAAAAATTAATCTTAAGCAAGACAAGACCAGAAGTTAACAAGCAACACAAGCTATTTTGCTTGGTGTATAAGTATGGGTGTAAGCTGACCTGTTATCAGAATATTTATAATTAGCTTAGGGGAGAAGAGTTTTCTTTTCTCCCTTTAATATGATTCAACCAGAGATTGGAGATCTATACGGTTACAAAATTTTCGTGATAGCTTTTCATTTTTCTGGATATCTCTCGAAATTATTTTGTCGTTCAGCGTATTGTAGCGAGCACGAGTGTGTTTGTGTGCGATTGGGCACACGTGTGCGTGAACGGCTTATCGATTAGCCGAACTAGCCGCGGACGCCTTTCTTCATGTGTGCCCTATTTGTAAAAGTGTGTGTCGTAAACAATTAAACAGTTCAAAGAAAAAATAAATTATCCGGATATTTGCAGAAGGTTCCAGAAAGTAAACAAAAGAGTATTTAAAGAGACGATCGCCGAGGGAAGAATAAATAAATTGACCGTTGCAGAAGTGAATCACGTTATTCAGTACCTAATACCTATGTTACCAATTCACACACAGGACCGGCTTCGAATTGGAAATTGTGATTTTTTCCCTCGGCAGTTATTTCTGATACACCTTGTATACATACTCTTTTTGTCTGTTTTAATGTAATATACCTCAGCCATAGTTAAACGCACAGAGGTCCCATTTTCTTAAAATACCCGGCCTCCAATAGGTTAAAAACGATCCTGAATATACACAAACTTTACTGTAAAGCTTATGATGTAGTTAATCAAGGTCTTATGGCAATAAAATTAATTAATAAAGGTATTCTTAAACCGTTAGTGATATGGTTTACCTATCCGGTGGAGTATTCTCATACAAGAGTAATAAATTGTTAATCTGAATGTAAAATGCAATCATTTGGAATACCTCAGTACTCGCACTTGTTACTTAGGGTCACTGCTTTTAATTCTCTTTATGAATGAACATTACTTCTGTATTTGAACCCGCTGTTCCTAGACAACTTGACGATGAGTCCCAAAATTGATAATAAAGCTGATTGCGAAAGACAACTATCTGATCTTAGAAGTTAAATGATGCAATATTAATGCAACGATCTTGAATATTAAATAATGTGAGATTATCATACAAAGAAGAATCCATTTAATATTGAATACCATTATAAAATTAACGAAGAAGAAGTCATTCGAGTTGAATCATTTAAGGATCTTGGAAAGAAAATTGGCATTTTATAATCACATCAATTATTAAGGATAACAGGATGTAGGCATTTGTGGGGAGGAGTACCAATTATTTAAAAAGGACAATGTCTGTTATATTACATCTTCTTCGCTCGCTCAGTTCGTAGACCAAATGTTAAAAATTCGGCGAAAGTTTTAGACAAATACTACAGAGAGCTTTTAGATTCATAAGGAAGATGGTACGTAATTCAATGTCTATGTTGAATATAAGAACATATCCTTTTTGCCTTCCACTGGATGCATAAAAGTATGGAAGAAGATGCCCCAGTAACAGACTTGATATATTAGCGGGTAATAAGTTTGGATATTTTAGAAAGGAGTATATTTAAAAGTATAGTTTCACTCTAGATACAGTGAAAAACATTACCTTTTAGAACTCATAAATAAATGTTCGTTATGTCTCTAATATCACACTTTATTGATTATATGAAATATTGTTTGTTTAAATAATTAGGAATAACACGCATATACATTAAAATATTTAAATAAAAATTGTTCTTACCATCAGAGTCTGATTTTATGGCACCTATTACACTAACAAATAGGAAAACTAAAAACATTTTGCTCCGATAACGCGTCGCACTATGATACTATGATATAAAAAAATTTACTTCGCCGATGTCGTGACGCTTTAAGACGTTTAAAAACGATGTCCAGAGTTCATAATGTTCTTTTACGGTAGTTGGACAACAGAAACTAGTGCATTAATCGCAGGTATACAATAAAATGCACACGCGACGTAAAAGTAACCTACTATTATCGTTATTATCACAGAAAGCTTTGGAAACGGATGCGCGCTATTCAGTTGTCAGTGTCTTGAAGACGTACTGTAAGTACGTGTTGAGCTACCGGTGATGTTTGTTGTGGTTCGCGATGTTGATTACGTCAAGTGAGCTGATGCAGTCGACCTATTCACCATCAGCGGCTACGCGACCGTACAGCAACTGTTATGTGTTTGGACTGAATTTACTGATCATGTTGGTTGTGGAGGGCCTGGTGCACGACGTTTTAGCCAAGGAGGGGTCGATGCTCCTCGACAGTGACTCTTCGCAAACTTTTACCATTACGTTGTTGTTGTTATTGTTAGTTTGTCCAGCATCGGTACCGTGAGTCTTGCTGGTGATGCTCGATGTTTCAAATCTATATTGGATTGTATCAAACACAAAGTGATCATGGGCACTCTTCGTCTTCGTTGGCCTTCGTGACGAAATTAACAAGGCAATTTTACCGCTGGTTTAATAGAAATTGACACTATACGGAGGTCAATGTACTCAATTTTTTGCTAAAGAAATTATGGGCTAAAATTATGAAGAACTGCTAGAGTTTCGTTCCGTGTTATTATCTAATAGTTTCTTGTTTATTAGGAAAGAAATTACAATTTTCAAACGAGCTTGCTGCTTTAGGCATGTTTAGGAGTAATACAATACTCAGTAATTTTTGTAAAATATTGTGTTCTAAATTTAAAGGATGATCAATAAAAGGAACTTATTAAATCCAACAGAACAGTTTTCTTGCAGAACATGCCTTAGTTGTTAACTTAATGATAACGTTTTTAGATAAACGCATTACCGTGAAAGTAATTCCAATAGAAAAAACTACTAATAGGAACGTTTATTAGATGACTATACACTGCCTATACTTAGAAAAGAACCTATTAGAAAAGAAATCGTATTTACTGTAACTACATTAAAACAAGTCTGAAAAGGTTGCCTTATTGTTCAGACTGATAATAGGGCGGATAGCCTTTCATAAGATTTGTGGTAGTAATTCTCACGTTGTAGGTAACTGCGGAAATAGTACTTATATATTGCATTGGAAAAGGAGTACATCATTCAAATCACTCATCATCATAAGGTCATCAATCCTAAAACTGGTTGGACACGTACCTCCACTATTTTTTGTCCTGAGCTAATCTTCGCATTTCCCTAAAACTAGAACAGCCCACATCCTTAACTATATGCGAACAGTAATCTAATCTAGGTAAACCTCTATCCCTCCTAACTCCCGTTTCTGCCTCTAATATGTCTCTGACTAGACCTTCATAGAGTCCTCTGTTTTCCTATTATTTCTAATACCTCTTCATTTCTAACCATGTCTATCCACGGTATCCTCACCGTTCGCCTGTAACACCACATTTTTAACGCTTTTAACCTTTTCTTTTCCGCCGCACCCGCTGTCCATGTTTCGAACGCGTACTCCAAACATACACCTTTAACAACCTTTTCCGAATTTCTAAAAATCATTAAATTTTACTAAAATCCACAAAGTAGGTATATGATTGAAAGATTTAGGCTGTACTATTAATGGCAATAATACGGAACCGAGCGGCCTAGCCTAATTCTAATCGTTATATATAACAGCTTTAGCATTCAGGACACCATCGGTAAATATCGAGGTCCACGTTTTCGTCTGGTTTCCTCGGATCGTGTAGATAAATGCTGGGGCAATAATATTTCAGAACCACTCTTCTTTGGTCTTCAGCATTTTTAACTATTTTAGGTCACCAAACCTTTGTGCGTAATTTAGCTTTATATTCGCTATTCCCAGAATCTAAAACGAATTCATTGTTATTTTCGATGCATTAGCTATGCATTGTAATCATGATGCAATTGGCCGTGTATATTCTATAATTTGGTTGACGTGATAATCATTATCGAAAGAATTACAATTTAGATCCTACACAATCGTGAGAATCAGTCGACTATGGTACTTCCCAACTTTATAAATAACTTTATAGTCCCAGGCCTGTGATCGCTCAATATGAAAGCAAGGTTTTGATCGTTCCCTAAAAAATAACTTCTAGGGGTTTGTATCTGGATCAGTTCAAATTCATTTTTCTCGTATAACATGTAAAAATTCTTGACAGTCCAAATCGATGTCAGAGCTTCTTTTCAGATTTGGCAGTAACATTTTTTTTAACATCCAATAAATTTTTTTTCTCGCAACACACGGTCCACTTGATTCATATTTACTGAGAACCGCACCCAAACCTACCGAGTTCCCGTCAGCAATTACCTGTGCTCTGTCATTTGGATCATAAAAACCTAGGGTACAAATGTTGCTAAAACAATCTTTTGTTTATTATTCCTCCAAAAGTTTAGTAATATTAGCTTGTTTGTGAAGCTTTTGCCTAAGAAGTTGCCGTAGAGATTAAAAATGCATTTCTCTACAAAGTTAACAAGATCAAGAAAACTTTGTTCAGAGACCGTTCTTCTTGACGCAGGTCGTAAAGTTCCTGAATAGAGTTTTAGAGAATGTTTTGCAAATTTACAAGGCGGCGTTATATTTATTTGGTAGTAGACTCTTCGAGAATGTCTAGATGCATCGGTTATATGGTTAAATTAGTTTATAGAGGTACCGGTTCAGGAAGGATTCAGTTATGCATGTGAACAGACTATGGTCAGCAGATTAGCCCACGCAGTTCACCCAGTATGGGATATATTATCAAGAGACTTTTGCTCCTGTGGTGAGATTTGACTCTGTGACCACACTATTAGCTATTGTAGCTGAACTAAATCCATACATTTGACAGTTTGACGCTAAACTAGTCTTCGTGCATGGAAATAATGAAGAAGAAATTTTTATAGAATAGCCGTATGGTTATGCGAAAGATGAAAAAGCTTGCCTTCACTTAAGAGTTTTTATGAACTGAAGCGAATCGTAAATTTCTTAAAAAATCTCAGATGTAATCAACCTAACTCTGGTAGATGCACAGGCATTTTATAATATTACCAGTCATAATGAAAATAGAATCTTTATTTTTTTTTGATGTATGATGGCTAAATTTGTGGAACGAGCAAAGCAAGCATGGAGGCAGTATTGTTAACTCTGTATGATGAATTCGAAACAACCTATTCAGTTGCTCAATGCTCTGTTGGCTCGTAAATTGAACAGAATCTCTCTGAGAAACAGCTGCGTGCTCATCAAACGGTTTATACACTTAAAATTTTTAAACGCTTTAATCGTGAGTGTTCTAATGCAGTAGCCATTTCAGTAAATCTTGAAACAAAACAACAAACAAAATTTTCTAGAACAAATTATTCTGTACGCGATACGCAAGTGTTCCCTTACCGAGAAGCTATTGACTTCTTATTGCACTTAATGATAGACTCACACCGATATCGCCTTCATAATCTACCATATTGAGTAGTTTTATGGAAATAATTTTAAAGATTTGTTTAAATGTCTGGTGAGTACTGCAACATAAATAGGAGATAGTCAAGAGGTGTTTTTTGGAATTGAACTCACTTGTACTTTCAACTGCCTTTTTCTCGAAAACGATGAACTTTCGCGCATACAAATATTTTTATAATTTCATGTTTTATAGTGTTCTATCATTTCCTTCCAGCTCGGAATTTATATCTGTTACACCTTGTATGTCCTCATCATTTTTAGTAATTCAATCTTATGTGTCTAGACAATGGCAGTTGTTTCTGTTCTATTTTTTCAAACTACATTGCATATTGTTTCGTTTGCTAGCTTGTTCTAAAATATTGTAATATTCGTGGGTTTAACAAAATCAACTTCTAAGACTGATAACGACAAAACTATTTATTTACACTAATTATTAAAGAACTTAAAAACATTATTAAATTATTACTAAACTTAGGTTCTGAATTATTCTATTTATTTACACTACTGTCGCTATATCACTATTCACTGCGCTATTTATTTCAATGCTATCACTGTCAATTTATTTCCAGATTCAATTCTGCAACGGTCAATTTATTTCTACCTCCTTTCTCGGCGATCATCTCTTCCTTTAAATACTCTTTTGTTTACTTTCTGGAACCTTCTGGAAACATCCGGATAGTTTATTTTTTCTTTGAACTGTTTAACTGCCTTCCCAGAACGCAGGTACGACACACACATTTACAAAAACGGCCCACATGAAGAAAGGCGCCCGCGGCTAGTCGGCGAATCGATAAGCCGTTCACGCACACGTGTGCCCGATTGCACACATACACACTCATGCTCGATACAAAATTATTCCTGTGGCATTTGGTTTATTCTTTTTTCATCTTTTTCGAATATATCTATTACATATACATATTTAATATTTCGTTTCAAATTACTGGATTTAACTGTTCAATCACGTTTCATTCCCATATTTTTCACGTTTTTGTATCTCGCCTGTCTGATGCTACTGTGACTTCCAAATATTTATAATTATTTTAATGCTGAATAGTTCGCATTACGGTCTCCAAATCCTTTCGTTGCTGTTACCATGTAGTTTGTTACAAGTGCATAATATTCGAGAACATAACCCATTGTCATGGATTAAAATATTAATGACAAAACCAAAACTACTCTATACACAACTGTTGTCCAATGTAGTACTTTTTTTACAGGTTTAAAACATGGGACCTAAACAATAGAGTTGTAAAAATCGTCTACCTCTTGAAATAGATTTCTGGTGAAGAAATGCCAGAAAAAAACTTGAGCATCGAAATGGGACGGTTTGTTTAAATGTCTGGTAGGTACTGTAATATAAACAGGAGATAGTCAAGAGGTGCTTTTCGTAAAGAGTTACTGTGAATTCTATACTTTTAACAAATTTTCTGGCACATTATTTGAAATTCTATTCACGCTTTTACTCATCAAAAAAGATCTTTATTTAATAGCACATATTTCTTAAAGGGCCATCTTTTAGTTTTCATTGGGTACGTCATTGCTTATTTTCACATAAAAAGGCAGTAGTATAATGTTAATTAACACTTATCTGCTTAATTTTCGATAATAGTAGCTCTAGTAGTTGATAATAATAATAGTGTTTAAATAATGAAAGTATCATTAGAGATTTTGAAAGACATGATATTATCCAGACATCTGGCTAATGTTACCAATACCAGCCTTTCTCTAATAATTATTTTTTGCGTTATGTATAATAGATTTTGTGTAAAGAGAGCAATATCGCAATCTGTTATTCCTTAATGTAATTGAAA